TTGTATTTTGAGATGGTGGTAAACCAAAGAAACTGGTGAAAAGAAAAGTAGAAGTATTGAGAGCATTTTCCTCTATTTTATTGTTTGTTCCTGCATGCTGGTTCTAAAGTTCTCTGTCTTGTGCAATCATTCCATTTAATTTACCCCTTCTTTATCGGAAGTGCTTGTCCTTGCTGTGCAAACTGAGAGAGACTCGACTTTGAATTCACAGTGTTGTTCTGTGTATCAGCAGCAGAGGGTGCTGAAGCAGCAGGGAAAAAGGCCATAACAACAAAAGAAACCACTTTTGTGACTTAACAATCTATAATTTATAGTAGATGTGCAGTCCTGATTTTAGTGTATCTTGCACTTCATATTAATTCCCACTTTAGGGATGTTGCACAAATCTGCCTCTTATGCTTTGTAAGAGTATTCCATGTGCTTATCCCTACTAACTGATTTTGGCTGTGTGAATAGGTTTGTCATGCATGACTGTTCACCACTGAATGTGTGGATGCAAATCGAAGTGTACTGCTAGGTCAGATAATTAATTGCCAGCTACAGTGATTCTGATTATGTTTTACAGAAAATACCTGTCGAATTGACAGGAAATTGATCATTATTCACTTACCTCTTGAAAGCCCAGAGCTCTAAGAATAAAGGAATAATTTATAGATAAAATAATGACAGAACAAAGAACTAATTTTGTTTCCTTTAATTCACGTAGGGCGATAAGTCTGTCAGAGTTATGCGTTCGCTGTTGGCAGCCCAGCAGACATTTGTAGATCGGCTGGTTCATGTAATGAAAGCAGTGCAGCGTGAAAGTGGGAATCGTAAGAAAAAGGTAACTACAGGATTGGAAAACTTATCTCTGGCTACAGTTTGACAATAGGAATCTTAGTTTTTCACTAAAAATTCTTAGCACTGAGGTTTACAACAGATGCCCATCTGTTCTGCAATAATTTAGGTAACTTTAAAAAAGCTTCGGAGAGGTTTAGATGAGTCAGAGTTCCAAAGTGTTCTTAGAGTTTTGTAAATGGAAAATGGAAGAGGCCCTTGAGAGAAATCTTGGGATATTTTGGCAAACAGAAGATACAAGAATAATTGAATGTTGATGATATATCTGTGAATAAGCTGTGGGGTGTGTGGAAAGACCAGCCACGGTTATTGTGGTGTGAGAATTGTGCCAGGGTGGGTAATGAAATTTTACTAGCAGCAAGGTTTCATTTCTTCCAAAAGCAGCAAAACTATTCGAAGTTGTAAGAGTATCAGAACTTTGCCTTCTGTTGCATCTAGAGGAAAAGGATTTCCATCATGGGTGCATTTTTAAGCAGCTTTGCCCTTATTCTAAGTGAACTTGACGGAGAGGTATGGGGAGGAGGTGGGAATGCCAAAGGGACTTTTGTTCTTGTATTTTCTTTTCCTCTGTCATACATCAATATTTTTAAACATGTTTTTTTCTCAGTGTAATGACTTTTGTCACCTTCTTTCTTTGAATCTGTGGGGTGTATTTGTGCAGGAAAATTCGTCTTGCATCATTTTTGTGAATATTCTGTGTATCAGTAATAATGGTGTAATCACTAAACGAGGAGAGTTTTTCAGTTCATAAGAATGTATTTGCTTATACAATATACTGTAGTGTTCTGTCATATATTCTCTTATAATTGTCAGGAGATTTCTGTAGAACTAAGAAACACATGGCTTTGATTTTGGAGTTAAAAACTATCTAGCAGCAATTAACCACTAGGAGTATTCCTAACAGTAGTGGGCTAACTTGCTGTGTGTTTGTGCCTATTATATTCAGTAGGGAAGAAGACTAGGGACTTAGGTATTTGACCTTTATTATGTAGGGTACACCAAGTGTAAAGTACTTGAAATTTGACTGGTACTGTGTTTCTGGTAACTACAGGTGTAGGAATGTAGAGCACACCCTGAAAACAGATCTGTGCAAGCAGTTGGCAGTTTGGTTCATTAGTGGTAGTGGATGTCCTTGAGTTTACGGATGTAAGGGATCAGAGCTAAAGAATTGTGTCAGGTTTCTGAAACAGAGCTAACACTTGATACTGGTATAGAAAATAAATCATCCTGCTACTTGTGCAGACAATTTAGAAATAATTTTTTAGCTGTTGTGCCTGGCACTTATAAAACCGCTTGATTGTGCTCAGACTAGGCAGAATATCTGCTTTCTTATTCAGATTACTGCAAATGGAGGATTTCTGTTTCACAGGATTTTAAGAGTGACACCTTTATATTTTGGAAGAGACAAAATATTTAATAAATTGGATATTTACTAGTAATATAATCTTTGTTAAAAGACTTTTAACTGTTCATAAGTACCGAGTATGTTTTATGGTATTGTTTTTTCTTTCACAAACTTTTATTCTTTTAGAATGAGAGGCTTCAGGCATTGTTAGCAGATAATGAAAAGATGAATTTAGCAGATATGGAACTCATTCCACTTCCTCTGGAACCTCAGGTGAAAATTAAAGGGATAATCCCTGAAAAAGCCACACTCTTCAAGGTAAATGAGTTCTTCTGAATTGCGAAATACAAACAAATCATGTGAGCACCAAGCTTAGAAACATCAGCAGAAAGATCTAAAGGGGCTGACATAGTTGAAGCAAAATGTAACTGTAAGGTGCTATTAAAGGGGTTAAACAATTCTTCATTTGCTTTGTGAAACTTATTTAAGTTAATATCCAGGAGGTATTCCCTGCCAATTAAAAAAAATGTTCAAGCTGCTGTGGCAACTTGTGTTGATCTGTCATCTCTAGTATTATGCCCCGAAGTTTCAAACTTTGAAAGGAGCTTGTTGACTGTGATACAGTTTGTGTTTACTTAAGTGATGAACGTTTTTGCATAGTTTTTACTATTCCCTCTCTTGATTTCCCAGCTTTGCATCTCTTCTTTACATAATAGTCTCTTTGAAGAGTGTGCTTTTTCAGTTGCATGCTCTGACACTTCAGGTTGGAGACAACATTGGAAACATCTTATAAAAACAAGGTTTTGCAAACTTGTGTCAACTTTTAGCATTAATATGATTTAAGGGTTGAAGGAAAAATGTTGACAAAAAGACTGCTGGAACAGCAACTAGATGTTTCCTTTCAAGAATTAATGGCTTAACTTGAACAGGGCAAACTCAGGTCAGATAGTCTTCTTTGTATCGGCCTTCTGTAGCAATGTGGAAAATTTAGGACCAAAAAAGAGATATAACTTGTTTCCAAATTAGAAATGGTTTTGATTTTCTGGATTCTGAAAGGTTGGAGATTTCTGTTTAATCTTTCATTCAAATCTTATTCAAACCAAACAAACCCAAACAGGGAAGAACGACTGATTCTTGGTTCTTACTTGAACATCACGTGTAGCTTTGTAGGGCTATTAAAAGAATAATTTTTCCTTTATTTATGGAACCTAATTATTTTGAAACATTCATGGTATATGAAAATCTAATGTGACTGCTCAAATATTAAACTCTACAACATTGATTTTTTTGGTTTTGATTTTGAGAGAAGTGACTTGGTCAGTTGCAATAGATGAAATAATTCATGTAGGTAATCGATACCCTTCAATCCATTTTATGTAGAGAAATTGCAAACAATTAAATTGACTTTCTCAACCTACAATGTAAAAAGGCATTTTTGCTTTTACTAAATGGATTAAGGAAGCAATTAATTGTTTAAGATGTCTTGCCCCTAGCATTTCTTTGATGTTTATCCTATAATGATGTCTCTCTTTGATCTGGTCAGTTTAAATTTGCTTTGTTGTGACCTTTTGCATAGTGCTTCTATGTTGATTGGAATGGCTTGCATACAAACAAAATTTGAATTCTTCTGTCCTTTCTGCTTCTGCTGCTCAGGGAGGCCTGGGTGGAAATGTATCCTTCACATTTCCTTCTAAAAAAGAAAGCAAGCCGTAGGATATCTTTTAAAAACATGCCTAGGTCACAGTTTTGGTAAGGAGGAATGGTATGTTCTATCTGTTGAGTCCTAGACAGGAAATAACCTGGTTTTAGAAGCTTTAGAATTGCATCTTTTATACCAGACTTGAGGAATGTGAAGAGACTTCTGCTACTCACTGCCATGCTCTTGGTATTCAAATGGGACTCTTCTAAACCTTTTTCTAATTGAGTGTGATACTTGAATCCTCTGACCTGATACTTGCTTAATTCACTTCTGATTTTCAGTGCAGTAAACAAGGACTTACGTTTTTAGTCCTCCGCTGTAACATGTTAATGTGAACATTGCTGTGAACCAGCTTAAGTAGAGTAAGTTTTCTTTTCCAGAGTGCCTTAATGCCTGCACAGTTATTCTTCAAGACAGAAGATGGGGGCAAATACCCTGTAATTTTTAAGCATGGTGATGATTTACGTCAAGATCAACTTATTCTTCAGATTATTTCACTCATGGATAAGGTGAGAATCATTAACCCACATCCATGTCCTTCCGTGTTCTTGATTCTTCTCGTCTTGAGCAAGACTGGTGGAAGCTGTTAATGTGGCTTATGTTGCTAATACATTCCAGGGTTTGCAGATCTTAGGTGATTATTTTTTTTTTTAAGAGACAGGCAATGGTCCTGTGTAGATTAAAAAAAATAACTCAAATTGAGAAACAGGCTTTCATTCATAACTGATTTCAGTGTAGAACAGTGGCGATCAATGTCCAATACATATTCGTTCTAGAAACAAGCTGATTTCTATTGCATTTATCTCTGCTTTTTTGTGTGTGTGTTTTTTTTCCCCAGCTGTTAAGAAAAGAGAATCTGGATTTGAAGCTGACACCCTATAAAGTGCTGGCAACTAGTACAAAACATGGTATGAGTACTTGTCTGAAAATACAGTATTGGGAATCATCTTCTCCTTCTGTTCATAGGCTTTTGTGACACTAAGCAAAACACCTCTCATTAAAATAGTACAGCATTCTAAAAAGGAGATCAAATGTGTTAAGAAAAGCTTGTTGCAATATAAGTCATGGAAGTAGACAACTGGAATGACCACAGTATTCCATAGGTGAATTATGTTCATGTAAGAAGTCCAGTCTGGATTTTGGAGTATGTGACAATCAGTAACGTTAATCTTTGCTCCTAGCTTGCTGTGGACAAATAACTTCTAACATTCCTATTTATAGATCTTTGCATGAAATGGAGGAAAAAATAAGACAAAATAAAATTTGGCTATGCTTTTAGATACATTCTAGATAAAGATTTAGAAAACCATTGAATTATTTTTCTCATATTTTAAAACCTGGAGCAACAGACTTTTTGCAAACTAATTTGGTGTTAATTCGCTTTAAAACTACTGCGTGCAGAAAATTCATACAAAACGTGTCTTTTTTTTTTTCCAATGATCAGCAGTTGGCTGAAAATGTATCAGTGTTGTCCTTTAATAAACATGTGTTGTAGAGTAGCCTGAAAGTTCTATACATTGGAGATTTTGGATTTTTTGGTTGTTTTCTGTTACAGGCTTTATGCAGTTTATCCAGTCCGTACCAGTTGCAGAAGTTCTTGCTACTGAGGAAAGTATACAGGTATGTGATGGGGGACTTTTAAGTAATCTTCTGGTCAAACAGTATAAATTGCAAGCTTAGATATCATGTAGAAGTCTTTAGTCTCTATCCAAAAATTGGTTTTGTATGTGTTGATAGGACCATAGAAGGGTTTAGGTTGGAAGGGACCTCAAAGATCATCTAGTTCCAACTGCCCTGACATAGATGACAAATTACAGCCTGAAACATTAGGGTATGTACAGCAGATGTTTTACTTAAAGAAAAAAAACCCACCACATTAGTATCTCATGTCCTAAAAATAATACTGTTCAAATAACGGAAGTATAATTCAGTTGTCACAGTGAAGCTCTGACTTTGCTGTAATGATGAATGGAAGGTGCATGACAGTTTTGCCTAATTTTTTTAAGTGTTTCTGTCATTCATTCAGTAGTTTTAGCTTGATGTATAGATCAAAGTATATTAATGGAGGTTTTTTGGATGGAAAAACTAAATAGTTTGTCCATATAATTTTTGAAGCCTGTTTCCCTGCCATGTTGCATGTATAGATAGTATGTGTTTTATTTATTTATTGTGTGTCTTTAATTATTTTTCTTTACTTAGCAAACTTTTTGCAACTTTCATGGAATTGAGCAGGGACACATAATTTAATAGTGACATATAAAATTCATGCTAATTTCAAGCACGGCACACAAGCTAGCAGAGCTCAGCTGGTTGAGATAAGCATACTGAATTGCCATATGAGATATATAGGTAATAGGTTTTTTAATGAAAACACAGCATGTTTATGTTGGATTCAGTTTGTCACAGTAACTTTTTTCCCTTTTTTTGTAGTTAATACTGAAGTTTGCATTTGCACATAGCTTAGTAACTGGGGGACAAAATTAGTAGCTCCCAGCTACCAGAAATTATGCACATTAAAAATACAGAGATTAAAAAATGTTTATAATTTGTCATTATAATTTGCTTAACAAATAAGCATATCAAATGCTTATAATTTATAAAAAATTCTTATTAATCAGTTGCCAGCATCAAGTTGTGTAAGTTTTTTGGGCTTTCCCTTCTGTGAAGGTTGAGATCAACTACAACTACACAGTACTTTCTTAGAAATCCGTTGTAATCTTGGAAATGAACTATTTCTTATTCTACTTCATTACAAATTCTTATAAAATAATATATTTTGAAATGGTTGTGAAATTGCCATTTTGTAATTACTTACGAAATCATATTCCAATCGAAAATAGGTATCCTACTGGTTTGGTTGCTGTGCAGATGTAAGGAGCAATTCTTCCTGTGAAGAATTGCTGATCTAAGTAGACAAGATGACAAAAGAATGTGGTCTAAGATTACTTCACAGATCAATGGCAGAATACATTATAGAACTCAGATTTCCTGTGCCATAAAGCATGATAAAATATCTGGGCATAATAGGCCAAGGAAGTAAAAACTAAATGAACATTTCTAGGTGCTGTGAAAATTTGGTTTATTCTGCACATGTTTAAATTGGGTGTCACAGCTGTTGTGAAGATGAGCACTGTATCTAACTGTCACTTCTGAAAAGGTTTAAAGCAAGTAATCTTACACGGGCTAGTAATGCATATCTGCAGGAAGAAAAAGATGTTTTGATGTTTGAACGTTACTTACCATCTACCAACAGTCTTGAAATTAGAGTTCATGTTTTGGAGGTATTGCTTTTCCAGTCTCCACAGCTTAGCATTTGGATGGCCTGAAGTCTTTTTTTGTTTGTTTGTTTGTCTTTTTTTTGCCTTTTTTTTTTTTAATACATACAGCATTGAAAATTGTGGAGCACTGGAAGTAGATCTCTGGAACCCTATTAACCAGTGAAAAAATTCTTTCTATATTTTGCTTTGAGGTTTCATTTAACAGAATCTTTCTACCCTATCAATTTTTTAAGTATATCTCAGAAGGGCTGGTTCCTCTGTAAGCAAAGATAATTAAAGGTTTCTCCAGTCCTTAAGGCTCTGCTATATGTTACCACAGACTGCGTTTCAAACAAAACCTTCTTAAATAGCCTGCAGGTATCTTCCTTCAGTACCTCCTTATCTTTAGTAAGATTTCCATCATTTTTTCATTAGGATTTTAGTCACATCACCCAGATGCCTAAAGAGCTCCTCTTCCAGTTCTTGCTTACCCTTATCTTTGCTTACTGGAAGAGTGGTTAGGTTTGGATATCATTTATGCTTCCTTTGTCTCAGTCAAGACAAACACAGTTTTCTTCTGAGTAGTGGGAAAGACTGCTTGGGCCCTGTCCACGTTTCACAGGAAATATGAAATTTCCCTTTCATTACTTAGATTTTTCATTTTAAATTCAGCAGCAGTTGGCTGTATTGAGTGATATTCAGACACACAATGCTGATAAAACTTTTAAGAGTGTGTCCCAAATACAGTTACAAATCTGAACCGCCATTCCGATCGGATTTTTTTGCTTATCTGGCATAAACAGATTCCTGTTGAAGTATTTTGCCCTCATAGTTATCAATTACCAACTTTTAATGCATTGTTAATTTTCTGAAGTTGTTAATAAAACAACTTTTCAATTTGAACTTCACATCTGTTTCTATTGACCATAAGAATATGATGATTAGGACAGAAAATAAAACAATACAAGATTAAATTAGATCTTACTAGGGTTTTTGGGAGTAGTTGTTAGTTTAGCAGATTGCAGTAATGGCCATCTGTGGTCTTGAATTAAATCTTTTCTCTAATAATTCTAAAGATCCTGTTTCAGATCATGTGGAGTAACTTAAGTATGTTGACTTCCTCTCCAGAACTTCTTCAGAAAACATGCACCTAGTGAGACAGGCCCTCATGGGATAAGTGCAGAGGTGATGGACACATACGTTAAGAGCTGTGGTAAGTTAATCTTACAGTTGCTAACTTCATATCTGAAGTATAAAGGACAGAGTACATGAGGTATTAAGACATTGGAGTGTGGATGACTGCACACAGGGCACTATGCATGCACCTGCTGTCAGAACCCCTATGAAAAGCATAGTTTTGAGCTTAGCATGTCATACACAATTCCACTCCTCATCCCTCTTTGTTCTCTTCCTGAAAGAGAATAGAAGTTAAATACTCTTTGCTTTCTAGCAATAATCTTACCTCTGCTCTCTCCACATCATGAGTTTGGGCTGTTTGTAACTCGGGAAGATGTAAAACATTTATACGCGAATAAACCGTCTATATTTGAGGTAGAAAATCTTGGTTTGTTTTTAAAACATCTGTGTGGGGTTTTTTTGAAGGGTTGAGGCTGCATTCAACTTCTTCCTTTAATTGGATGACAAGGAAATGTGGTAGTGTAGTTGTTCAGTAAACTGATGGCTGTGTTTAAATGTCACATTTGCTGTGCATTAAATTAACAGCAACTTTATTCTGAGAATAACAAACTCAAAGAAAAAGAATTCAGTTGTTCAACAGCAGTTGTTGTTCTCCTTTCTTTTTCTCTAGCTGATGACATAGTCTTTAGAACTGCTTCACACTGCTACGGTTGGTGGGTGAAAGTATGAATTAAGCCAGTTCAGTTCTAATCAATTTATCTCTGACTGTCTTACTGCATATCTTGTGAATACTGCTGATGTGCACATTCAGATTCATATCAATGTCTAATGCCTGTTTGCAGTTGTCTTGAAATACCTTCAGTTCAAAATGTGTGTTCATTTTGCACAAAATACTTCATCTACCTTTCAAGTACCTTACTCCCAGTACTGAATGAATACAGGCTTTTAGTGTTAGGAACGTAATTGTGTAGAAAGAAATGAAAATCGAGGCAGTGCTGAATAAACTTCAGAGTTACAGTTTATTACTTCATATGTTCTTCATAGTGCTGATAATCTTGATTATTCTTCACCAGCACCACCCTAGTCCTCAGTCTCTGGAATATTCATTATTTGTGAACAAGAACTAAGATAATGTCATATGTTTTTGATTAATTGTGTGGAACTTGTTACTCTCCAGGAAGGATACTTATATTGATGTTTACAATTTACTTGTTACAGCTGGTTATTGTGTAATTACTTACATCCTTGGAGTTGGAGATAGACATCTGGATAATCTTTTGCTAACAAAAACAGGTAATTCTTTTTAGCAGAATAATTTTATAAGAGCAGTTGTTTAATTTCAAATATTTTGGTACTGTTTTCTACATTTTCCTTATGAGTATAACCTGCTGAGTATTGTAGATTAGAACATATTTTTAAAGGTAGAGGTATATTGTCTCATCTAAGGTAATATTTGAGCCAGTGAGTCAAAGTTTAGGTTTAAACTATTAGCAGTGTGAAGTGGCAGTTGAAGAATAAGGAAGCAAATAGATTAATTGCTCTGTAACCACACTGGGAGGCAAGATACAATGTGTATCTGATAACGTGGCTTTGATGTCAGTTAAAGAGCCATTTATACATGTGTAGGTAATGTGTCGTGGTTTAACCTTATCTAGCAGTTAAGTACCACACAGTCGCTCGATCACCCCCCCCCCGCCCCGGGCAGGAGAGTCAGGGGAAGAGACAAGGAAAGCTCATGAAGTTGAGATAAGAACTGTAGAATTATCTATATGAGAATTAATAGTGATATTAATACTAACAATACTACTATTAATAAGTAAGTAAAACAATAGAAAATGGAACATATGATACAATAGCTAACCGTGCATCGACTGACACAGAGCCAGGGCCCACAGCAGTAAGCTGTCCCTGCCTAAGAGCCCCAAAACAGAGTGAAAAGTTGTCCCCCCAACCCGCTAACAAAATGAACCGGAATGAAACACTCTTTTGGCTGCTCTGGGCCAGCCAACAGCACTGTGAAGAAAGGAGCTCGTTCCTGATACCAGCACATTATCCACCCCTTGTTTCATACAATTTACGTCATGCTCAAGTCCCACAGTATTCCATAAATCCTTATTAACCAGCTTCCCCTTTCCC